GCTTTGCTACAGTCACTCTTAGTTGGTTAGCAAGACTTACATTTGAACTGCCCTGGTCACAAATGACTGCTTTCACTGCAATATTAATGCTCCTAAAATCCAAAATGAGTGACACCAGCAAGTTATGCATAACAGATGATGGTGTTGATGTGTGCCCTATAATAAAAGCAACCGGTTGAACCCACTTTCTCGAAACGCCAACAAGAAGAAAAACCAGTGCTCGATCAGCGATGGTTGAAGTGCGATGAGTGCCATCATCTGTAAAACCCTGGACAACGTCTCTTGCAGCATCATAGTACATATTCTTTTTGAGTGCTATTTCGTCGAAAACTAAAGCGCATACTCGGTCCCGTTCATTCCAAGCTTGAGTATTTGTTGCAATGGAAGAAAGGATTCCTGGAATTATGCCTGTAGTCATTTTTACATTAGCTAGCCACCTCCTGCCGGGAGGGCAAAGAAAAATATGTAGCCAGAAATCGGTATGCTCGCGGACCTCGGAAGTTTAAGTGAAGAGCAAATTTCTTGAACCACACGGGAAACCGCTTGCCCTTGTGTTTGGGCCTCAAGCGAACATGTGCAGAAAGAAGTTTAAAAACCTCTTCGGTGACGTGCGGTCGGATAACTTCAAGGGCCTTTGAAGTCGATGACGGTGCTTGGTGAGGCTGTCTCCGCAGTCTTTTGATAGTTTTCCGCTGTGCTGCTACTTTGGCTTGCAGATGTTTAATGGTTTGCTTGTACTTCATTGATGGAGACATTGTCGCTAGCACACAGGAACGCACTGCAATAAACAAAAAAATGGATGTAAAAGCGATGAACAACTAATCCCATACGAGCACTTTCCTCGCTCTTTCAGACCCAAGGTGCACAACTTTCTGTGGTGCAAAGTTTTCGATTCCACTACCTAAAGACAAACCATTCACAATGTTGACAATGCACACAAAAAAATAAAAATCACTGAGAGCCCACCCTTACATTTTGTAAGTGCACAGGTAGTGTCCTTTTGAGGATAGTTTCCTCAGAATGTCCTAAACATAAAATAGCACATCAAAAACAGCTGCAATAAAAGCATAGTCACCATTTTCTCTAGGGCACTCAGGCGTGGAGCTGTTGGCGGAGACGTCTTCTGGAGGGTTTTGTGAAGCTTGTTCAGTGCCTCGGACAGTGCTGTCGGAACAATCTTGCGAGCGGCCTGCGGAAGTCTCTATATCAAGCCACTCTGGTGTTGAAGTGAACATACAACTTACCGGTCACACAAGTTCCTTTTGCGACAGCTGAATGACTGGTTAAGGTTTTCTCCGGCAAGACGAAGTCAGCGGAAATTCTTTCACCAGCTACAAGGGAGCTGCCACCTGCAGAAGTTTGGTCAACAGTCAATTTCGGTAAAAAAAAAAGAAATCGCGACACTGAACGCACCCTGTTCATCGGGGCACCTCAATGTGTGGGAGCCGCTTTTTGAAGCCTCTACCACAGGCCCTGAAGAAATGAAATTACGACAATGTATCAGTAAGAGGCTTAAAATAACACAAACTGAAGCTCATCCGCACCTTGCAGTGCAGCTTCTGCAGCCATGTCACAGTCACTACTTGAAGCGACGCTCAGAGAACCTGCATATATGTGCAGTTGGTACAAGTTACAAAGCTTGTAGCATGGGGAAACTTAAACAGCTCTTTCAAACGCATAAATTGGTCGAACGTGGAAGAAAAGAGAAGGCGCCAACTAGGAAACAAGTAATTTGTGATTTTTGGAATTATCAACAGTGGCAGCTTTCACTGATGAAAGGTATACGTACATGTGCACTCAGGCTTGAAGATAACGTGAAATAGCCCTTTAAAGTCTTTTAAAACAAGTTGCGCAGGTCAAGAGCATAAAAAACGACAGAAATGTAAAGCTGCTGGTAGGAAGGTAATAGCCCACAATTCACAAAATTTAAGACTTTCTAAGTGTTACTTCTATAGTGAGGCTTCTCCATCGGCTACAAAGATCTTCACGATTAACTGTCGCGACTGATTAAATACAAGTGGCTGCTATTGCACATATTTGAGTTTCAGTCAATCACTTACATGGTGCAGCTGGTCGCACAGTGGGAACAGCCATTCTTGTAAGCCTTGTGTGCCCAGGGTCCATGAAACTTTAAGCAGTAAAATGGTCGCTACAAACCCTGTACGTTGCGTACAATAGGCTGGCCGGCTTACTAAGGAGATCATCGCGTCCAGCATACTGCATCCATGCTTTCATCCTGCATTGGCAATGAACTATCAGCTGAAAGGGGAAGTGCTTGAATATTGATGTTTTATTGTTACCCTCACTGAGCAAGTACGAACAGTAAGCCTAAAGACATGCAAACCATACAAAAGCTTTAACAGACCTGCCGTCCCGTGGTATGCAGAAGAAACTCGTCCCAGGCTTCTTGTGGGTTCTGCCATTGTTGAAGCACCGCGATACACAGCAGTAGCTGCCGTAGCTTGGACCGCCGGACGGCATGGCGTCAGCGCGGTCTGAAAATGTTAGTAAGTGGATGCTTCGCTGTCAAATTACGAAAAAGATATGTGCACGTCATAAGTGTACCAACAAACCCCTTTGAATGATTAGCTAATCGATGCACAATACAGAACCAGTGATACATCTCTGACCCATAAAACTCTGACTCTCAAAGATATACGTCCAGACCACGTACAAAGATCTTCAGAAGTTTCTAGGCCGCTATCCCTTGTAATGCAATGGTATCGCGGCCTGGGAACTTTAGAATACCTTCGTACGTACGCAGTATCAGCAGTACCTTGGGAAGAAAAATCGTAGTTGAAATTTATGCGGTAAAATTATATTGGAAACGTCAAAAAAATTTGTGAGCAGCTTGCACTAGTGGCACAAGGCTAGCGAAAAAACGAAGATGATGGCCACTTGGCTAGTCCAGATTTGCGTCCGGCACACCAAGAATTATTCGTGTTCCGAGCCTTCGGGAAACGCGTCGTGAAACATGCGAGGCCCAGCGAATGCTTCTCAATATTTTGCACCGAGCCTATGACCTAGCTGCCCAGCTACGCTAAGCGCACAGACGCTCGCGTCCGTGGCAGACGCAGCACGCGTCGCCTCGGCTTGACGCCGTGCCGCCTTTGCTGTACTGCATACGTTGCACAATGTTCCCCTCTAGCCGCCGCATAGAGCCACAAACTTTCTTTTTAGCAAACCTCCCAGTCCTTACAAGCTTCAGAAAAAGGTTACAACTGCGTGAATGAGACGCCACGTGAGAAACAAACTCGCACACTCGAAGCGCAACGTGTGTGTGTGCATCTTTCTATGTTTGTTGCATGGTGTCTTATTCGCGCAAGTATAACCGTTTTCTGAAAAAATGACCCAACAAGGCCAACAACATGTCATTCAACAAGCTTCGCTTGAAAACGTGCCTCACCATTTATCTCACGCACGAAAACGCCGACGCAGCCGACGTTGACGAAAGCGACGAAAGCTTCTCGCTGTCAGTCATGCATGGGCTTGTCGCTGGGTGCATGGTGTTTATGACAGCACGGCTGAAGAAAAATAATCGCGTAAGGTGTGTTGAATAAATTGTTTTTATGTATAAAGAACACACTAAACTTGGGCGTATAATTATTATTTTGTAAAAACCATTCTGTTGCATTGATTATAACTGTTTTTTTTTTTGCGCTTGCGCCCTCTGACGTTTGGTGAGAGCACTAGTTCGTTACGTAGTCGTGACGCACTTCCTGAGGCCAGGTTTCGCGGAGTGTCCGCTCTCGTCTTCTTCTTTCTCTATGTGTATGTCACGGGCACAACCCACTGACAGGTGCAAGACGCGAGACGTGCTTCCGCGTACCATTTTCATTGAGGCCGTCTCAAGGTTGCTTATTTAAATGTGAAGCATTTCTTAGCGAACTTCGGCGACTTTGAGCGTATCTATCTATCTATCTATCTATCTATCTATCTATCTATCTATCTATCTATCTATCTATCTATCTATCTATCTATCTATCTATCTATCTATCTATCTATCTATCTATCTATCTATCCAGCCGCTTACGACTTTTAGATCTCCTAGCCGTTTGGATGATGGTATCAATACTAAACTTGGTATGACAAAACATAACTGTAAGAAGAACATAGTCGACTAGTCACAACATGAAAATCATGACATGGATGTCATGAATGTCATGATATACATTTTATGGTCCTGCAGCTCTTGCGCTGGTTTCGTTCACATGGCATGTTGCAAAACTGCTATGATATGACATGATTGCACGAAGAACACAACGACAGACCCTAACATGAAAATCATGAAATGCGTGTTAGGTAACAACATGACTACATGCCAAGCTCATGATGTACTCGCGGGCGTTTCGCTAGAGTCACAAACACCAAGCTTGGTATTACGGTACGTGAAGGTATGACGAAGGTATATGACTGGTGCAAACATGATACTCATGCGATGCGTGCCATGTAACGACATGACTACATGCCACACTCATATGATGCGCTGGTGGCCGTTTCGCTAGCTCACTTATACCAAATTTGGTATTACGGGATGGGAGTGAAAGAAGCTATGATACTAGTGCAAACACGATAAATATGAGATGCGTGTCATGTAACAACATGACTACATGCTACGCTCATGATGCGCTCGCGGCCGTTCGGATAGCTTCACATGTACCAAACTCGGTACTTCGCAACGCGAACGGATGACATAGGTAAATCACACATACGAACATGATAATCATGACATGCGTGTCATGTAACAACATGACATGTCACACTCATGATGCGCTATCGGCCGGTTCTGTAGCTCTACATAAGCCAAATTTGGTATTACGTGGTGTCAATGGATGACGAAGGTATGTGACTGGTGCAAACATGATTATCACGAGATGCGTGTCATGTGAGAACATGACTACATGTAACAGTCAAGGCGCCAATGCATTTCGACGTGAGCCGGTGCGCGTGCTCAGCAGCGTTTAATTCGTCAGGTCACGTCGGCGTTGCCACGCCAGGCCATGTACTCCACGCCTGCCATGTACTCGCTGGTGCGCGCCGCGCTGCGTTGCTTTTACGCATGCGCGTTTCAGCGCGTCCGGCGTCTTTCCGTCAAGAAAAGAGGGAGACGCAGTGTGCCTGGGTAACGCATCCGCACGAAATGCAGCATGTCGCATTTCGCACTGGTGGCCGTCAGGCCGCGCTATAGGACGCTGGTCGCGCCTTGCGTCAGACTTTAGGTGCTCGCGTTTTGCTAACGTAGCGTTCCTTAGACCAGTGTCCGCGCTTAAACGTTACATTGGAGTATATTGCGCTCTTCATGATGCACTCAAGGTCGTTTCGATAGCTCCACATTAACCAAATTTGGGTTTACGTGACGTCAATTGATGGCGAAGGTATATGACTTGTGCTAACATGATAATCATGAGACGCGTGTCATGCAACAACATGACAACATACCACAATAATGGCGTTCACGTGGCCGTTTGACTAGCTCCACGTATAGTAAATTTGGCATATTCGTGACGTGAATAGATGACGAAGGTACCGAAACATATAAATATGTTAATCATGACACGGAAATCGTGTGCGACATAATTTACTTCCACCTCTTAACGTTGTGGTAATTTGAAAGTGGCATATCAACCTTCCTCATTCGTGCTTCGCGTATCATCGATTCCCACTTTACGTTGGATCTGCAAATTTTTTCATCCACTAGGCTGTATATTCTGGCGCTGCAGTCAAACTGAAAAACTCGACTGAACGGTGCCTATCTGCCGGTGCCGCCAGAATCTTTGTATTTCTGGAAATAAATCTATCTATCTATCTATAAGGGAAGCCAGTGAAACGGCTGCCAGCGCATCATGAGCGCAGCATGTAGTCATGTTGTTTCCAGACATGTGTGTGACAATTTTGGTCTTAAAGTCTGTCGCTTGTGTTCGCCATGTAACCATGTCATACCATACCAGTTTTGCAACATGCCATGCGAACAAAACCACCGCAAGAGCTTCAAGACAATGAAATGTAAATCATGGCACTTATGATATACATGTCATAATTTTCATGTCGTGACTAGTCAAATACGTTCTTCATACAGTCATGAATTGCCATACGAAGTTTGTTATCGATACCATTATGGAAACGGCCAGGGATAGGTAAAAGTTATGGGTGGCTAGATAGATAGATAGATAGATAGATAGATAGATAGATAGATAGATAGATAGATAGATAGATAGATAGATAGATAGATAGATAGATAGATAGATAGATAGATAGATAGATAGATAGATAGAAAGATAGATAGATAGATAGATAGATAGATAGATAGATAGATAGATAGATAGATAGATAGATAGATAGATAGATAGATAGATAGATAGATAGATAGATAGATAGATAGATAGATAGATAGATAGATAGATAGATAGATAGATACGCTCAAAATCACCTAAGTTTGCAAAGAAATGCTTCGGCAGCCATTCAATTAAGGCCTGAATTTCAAAAGTACGCACTTCCATGTTAGCTATCTAGAGCGTGTTTACAGATGTCTCCCCTTGGTGCTACGATGTTCGGGAATTTTTCAACGTCCAAGTGTAACATTTCATGTTGACTCCCGGCAGGTGGAAGGGACATTGCCAGGGGCCGTCAAGATCCTACCACGCTCATCGGAAGGAAGCCAAAAGGTATTCGACAAGAGCCTGCTCGTTTCTCGCTCTCTGTAAAATATAGATTCCATCAGTACGGCAGTGTCCTGTTCGGTCGAAAGCACCCTTGTGAGCTAAAAGTCAGTGTTGTTCTTGCAGGTGGTTGTAGGCAGCCAGTCTGGCGTTGTTCACGCATTCGGGGCCAGCCGTGGTCGCATTGAAGTAAGTCAGCTGCTGTTTTCCTGGGAGGTATTGTTCATTATTCGCATTGTTCAACTACAGACGGTGTTCAAGACGTTGCCTGCTGGGAAAGGCGTCGGCTGCGTTCAGCTGGGCGGGCCCGTCGGCAGCATTCAGGACAAGATATTTGTGGCAGCAGGCAACGAGATCACCGGTTACACACGAAAAGGAAAGCAGTTCCTGAAGTTCGACACAAATCTGACAGACAACATACGGTGCATGTGAGTTGTGAGCTTGTGCTACACTTTGAATACTTCTTGTTGGTTGAGTTGCTTATTCCAGGATATATATTGCATTATAGATAGAAAATGCTACACTCCAGAAGATCTTGGCCAGTAGGTCCATGTTGCTTGAAGCAGCAAGTACACTGAACATAGCATAGAGGTAGATGCACACACACCTAAAGCTAAGAATTGTTGCATTATTGAAGGGAAACATTTCGCCAAAAAAGCTCACTGTGCATGTGCAGCACATCAGTATCGCTATGACATCAACCAGTGAAAGACAGAGTACATCTTGTCACGAAGACTGCAGTCAGTGTCTTCAAGACGGAACTTTCAAGGCCGAGGCTCGTCCGTCTCTTTGGCTTCCGTGCGCACAGCGCGGCACAGTGTGAAATGTCAACAAAGGTAAACAAGAACAAATTAGGCAGAACAAAAAATAAATTGCCAAGAGACCGTAAAAACAACAACGCTTACGCTGACATTCGTCAAACCATATAGATATGACGCAAAAAGTTAACGAGATCAAAACAAAATGGTTCGACAACGCACGCACACCGAAATTCAAGCGAAAAAAAAATGGCCGATCTCACGTACAGTGGGAATCGATGATATGCGAAGCACGAATAAGAAAGGTTGATATGTCACTTTAAAATCAGCACGACGTTACGAGGTGAAAATAAATGATGCCGTATATGACTTCCGTGTCATGATTATCATATTTGAATGTGTCGTTTACCTTCGTCATCTATTCACGTCACGTGATACTAAATTTACTATAGGTGGAGCAAGCGAAACGGCCGTTAGTAGCTATTAGCATGGTATGTGGTCATGTTCTTACATGACACGCGTGTCAGGATTATCACGTTTGCACCAGTCATATATTTCGTCATCCGTTGACATCACGTAACACCAAATTTGTTAAATGTGAAGCGAGCGCATTATGAAGGGCCCAATTATATACTACAATGTAGCGCTGACGCGCGCGCAAAACGGGCACAGCGACGCTACGTCATCAAAACGCGAGCACTGTATGGTCTGACGCCAGGCGCAACCAGCGTCCGTCCGCGTGGCCTGACCGCAACCGGCACGAAATTCGGGCGAATGCGTTACTCGGACAACACTGCGTCTCCGTCTTTTCGTGACAGGTGGTGGTGAAAACATTTAATAACCATTAAATGGTTACAGAGAGGTGATTGGGTTGGGGCCTTATTGGCCTCCTACCCTCACAGCACTAGGTGGAACCCCTATTCCGGGGCTCCATTGGCAAGCAACGCCGCCCGCGCACGTTGAACCAGAGCCTCTTGGGCCTTCAGGTCTTGACAGCCGAGCAGGGCCGCCTCCCAGTCCTCTCTCGTGGGATTGGGGTTGGGGGGGATAGATGGATTAGACTGGCACGCCCAGACGATGTGAAAGGTGTCAGCCACCTCACCACAGAACTGGCACGTGCCATCAAAGGATGAATTGAAATGTTTTAGCACCGCCGGGCACAGTACAGTATTGGTAAACAGTTTTAAAAGGAGGCGCTCGTCAGCGCGATGCAGTCCCTTACAAGGGTCTGGATAGCGCCGGTGCTCCTCCTTGTAGTAATTGGTAATATCTTTGAATGAAAGGGCCGAATTGTCTGATTGCGAGTAGGCTTCCAAAGACAGGGAGATAGCCCGGGAAGAGAGTGCGCGGGCGGCCTGATCGGCCTGTTCGTAACCCCTGAGTCCTTGGTGACCGGGTGCCCAAACCAGATTTCGCGGAGTTGGATTAACGTATCGGCAGCTAGGTTCCAGTATGCGCTGAGCAAGCGGTGAAGCCCACCCTAGCTGATAGTTCCGACAGGCCCCTCGTGAGTCGGTGATGATATGTTTAGAAGAGGGATAGGTGAGAGCCAGAGCGATGGCAACCTCCTCCGCGTGTGTTGCGCTGTAGGCTTTGAAAGTGAGCCCGTTTACGGTGTTTGCGTTGTGTATGACTGCGGCAGTATACCACCCCCCATGGTGCGGGCCGGCAACGTCCACGTAGCACACGTGTTCCTCTTGACCAAAGTGTCGCTGCAACGCTTCCGCGCGCGCCTGGCGGCGACCACTGTGGTTTTCTTTGGACATGTTGCGGGGAAGGGGTCGGACCCGGAGGACGCGTCTCCAAGGTTCTGGCACTCTCACCCTTTCCTCAATATAGTAATCGTGTTTGATGTGTATTCGGTCCAAGAGGCGGCGACCGGAATGGGTCTGTGCAAGGCGCGTGTATTGGTTAACGAGGTGGGCTTCTCGAAGTTCCCGGTAGGTATTCACCACGCCTAGGGCCAGAAGTCTCTGGTTGGACGTGGTGATAGGGAGGTCGAGAGCCCGCTTGATAACTTTACGGTGGATGACCTCGAGTTGATCATCCTCGTGTTTGCGTAGGTGCAAGTAGGGAGTCGAGTAGAGTATTCTACTCGTTACGAAAGCATGGGCAAGCCGCATTGCATCCCTGCTTCGTAATCCGCCCCGCTTGTTGGAGACCCGGCGGACCATACGGCCCACCTGGTCTCCCACCGTGCGAAGTTTGGCTATTGTGGTGTCGGCCTTGCGTTGGTGGTGTATGAAGAGGCCAAGGACGCGGATCTCCTTGGCCTCACGGATCGGTCCCGAGGGAAGACTGATATGGAGCTGAGTTGTGTCCTGAGGGGAGGGACGTACGTGCACAAATTCTGACTTAGCCGGGGCACACTGGAGTCCGCAGTAGGTTGCGTAGTCGTCGACTACAGTCGCTGCTGCTTGCAGGCATGACTCCATGTGACCCAGGTTACCTTGCGTGGCCCAGATCGTGATATCATCCGCGTAAAGAGCGTGATGTATCCATGGTAAAGAAGCCAATTTGGGGGGAAGATGAAGCATGGCTATATTAAATAGGAGGGGAGAGAGGACCGCGCCTTGAGGAGTTCCCCTCGAGCCGATGACGTAAGGCCCATGTTCCTCATCTTGTATGCGTATGTAGGCTCGACGGTCTGTAAGAAACTGTCTAACATAATTGAATGTTTTATAACCACAGTTGGTCTGACTGAGGTGGTCAAGGATTACCTCATGCTTCACGTTGTCGAATGCACCTTTAAGATCCAAGGCCAGGACTACCTTGTCATTGTGGGGGCATTCAACAGGATCTAATATGTCATGGTGAAGCTGTAGAAGTATATCCTGGGCTGACTTCTGAGGGCGGAATCCAAACATGGTGTCCGCAAAAGTGTGCTGTGTTTGTTTTTCGTGACAGAGCGACACCGCACGCGCTGAAACGCGCATGCGTCAAAGCAACGCATGGCGACGCGCGCGTGCGAGTATATGGCAGGACTGGTGCCCGGCGTGGCAACGCTGCCATGACGCGACAACCTGAACGCCGGCGAGCATGCGTACCACGTCCCGTCAAAATGTATTAGCACCCTGACTGTGTCATGTAGCCATGTTGTCACTTGACAAGCATCTCATGATTATCATGTTTGCACAAGTCACGAACCTTCATTATTTATTGGTGTCACAAAGTACGAAATTTGGCATGCGTGAAGCTAGCGAAAACGCCGCAAGTGCATCATGAGTGTGGCATGTAGTCATGTTATTCAATGACACGCATATCGTGATTATCATGTTTGTATGTGTTATTTAGCTATGTTGTCCGTTCGCGTCACGTAATACCGAATTTGGTGCATGTGAAGCTAGCGAAACGGCCGCGAGTGCATCATGAGCGTGGCTTGTAGCCATGTTGTTACATGACACGCTTGTCATGATTTGCGTGTTAAGGTCTGTCGCTTGTGTTCACCATGCATTTATGTCATACCATACCAGTTTTCCAACATGCCATGTGAGCGAAAACACCGCAGGAGCTTCAGGACCATAAAATGTAAATCATGACATTCATGATATACACGTCATGCTTTTCATGTCATGCCTAGTCAAATATGTTCTTCATACAGTCATGTTATACCATACGAAGTTTAGTATCGATACCATTATTGAAACGGCTAGGAGAGCTAAAGTCATAGGCGGCTAGAGATAGATAGATAGATAGATAGATAGATAGATAGATAGATAGATAGATAGATAGATAGATAGATAGATAGATAGATAGATAGATAGATAGATAGATAGATAGATAGATAGATAGATAGATAGATAGATAGATAGATAGATAGATAGATAGATAGATAGATAGATAGATAGATAGATAGATAGATAGATAGATAGATAGATAGATAGATAGATAGATAGATAGATAGATAGAGGTTTGGTGATCTGTGAAAATCCTCTGGCGAAACGCCTATATTGGGCGCACAATCCTCGGTGCACGGCCTGCTCGTCATTGGGAGATGGGATATCGACAGTGGAGGTTGTTTTCTGAGGGTTGGCAAGGACTCCATACTTGCCAAGCAAGTGCCCCAGGAACAAGATTTCCTCGTATGCGAAGCGGCACTTTTCTGGCTTCAGGGTGAGCCCAGCGTACTGATAGCTTGAAGTACCGTGTCGAGGCGGCGGAGGTGCTTGTTGAAGATCGAGGAATACACGACGACGACATCCAAGTACACGAGGCAAGTCTGCCATTTTTAATCCAGATAGCACGGTGTCCACAACACGCTGGAACGTCACAGGCACCGAGAAAAGAACAGATGACGTGATTCAAACTCGAAGATGCCGTTTTGTGTGATAAAGGCAGTCTTCTCTCGATATCTCTAGTTCACCTTGATTTCTCAACAGCCGGTCTTGAGGTCGATCGACGAAAAGTACTTCACGCTGTGGAATCGATCCAAGGCGTCTGCTATACGTGGGCATGAGTCCTTTTTAGTGATTTTGTTCCGGCAGTGGCAATCAACAGGAAAACGTAAGGTTCGGTCTTTTTTCTTCACTAATACCACGGGTGACGCCCGCGGACGGCTGAATAATGTCGTCGCGTAGAATTTCATCGACATTTACAACCTCGCATTTGATTACGCTCACGGCTCATCAAGGTGATTACGCTCACGGCTCAGAACAATGACCTAGAAAGTA